GGTACTGAAGCAGTTTGGATTTGGATTTTCTTTGAAGATTTAATTGAAGATCATCTCCAGGACCCAGATATGCAACCCAGAGGAAACGGTTGTCCATAGAGATGGGAAAACTTTCCTCCTAACTCTTTTGGGTAGCACTCCCTGCTGCTTAAATGTGAGCTCGGGATGGTAGGAACTTTGCTTTATTCAACGTTGTATCTCCAGGGCCAGGAATAGTTCCTGGCATATGCTAGGACCTCAGTAACTTGTGTTGCATGAACAATAAAGGTTGCCCAGGCTCGGTGGGGGGGAAGGGAACTGGGGGTTGACCGGCTCATCCCCACAAACAGGATATCTGTCAAGAACACCTTCTCCAGGATCCAAGATGGCTGCTTGGGTAGACACCTAACCGCAGCAGCACACAACAATTTCAATGGAATACAACTAAAATGTAGAGTGGACATCGCCCAGAGCTACAGGTAGTCGACTGACTGAAAACTCTACAATAGGAAGGAGGGAGAAAACCAGAAGGAAAATCAGAGGAGCTGAAAAAAAAGCCTAAGGTAAGGAGACATGCTGCGCGCCCGCACGCACGCACGCACGCACGGGCGCGCAGAGAGGTCGCAGCCAGAGAGGAGGAGAGGGCTGGGTGCTGCCTGGCGTTCCCTAGCAGGAAGGAAATAGAACCCCCAGCCTGGGCTGAACCCCCAAACCAGCAGCGCTGAGCCCCAGTTATGGGCCAGACCCTGGGGACCCAGGCTCCGGCAGGGGGAGACGGGGCTGTGAGGCGGAATCCTGGGGGAGCAGTGAAAGGCGGGGCCCCCGGAGTCGCGCGCACATTGTGTGCAGAGGACTGAATGTTGACTCTGCTGCTGGATTAACCTAGCCGGAAGGAACAAAGCCTCCGGTGGCGCTGAGCCTCAGTCCGGACTGCCCCGAACTCCAGGTCTGGGCCAGTCCCTGGGGACCCAAGCTCAAGCAGAGGAAGACAGGGCTGTGAGGTGGAGTCCTGGGGGAGCTGCGAAAAGCGGAGCCCCCGGAGTCGCGCACATTGCGCACAGAGGACAGTCTGTTGACTCTGATCCTGGACTCCCCTAGCGGGAGGGAGAAAGAAAGCTCCAGACTGGAGGAACTCGACGAGGAGCAGGAGCTCCTGCCAGACACCGGCCAGCCGGGCACCAGCAAGGAGCCGGGCGACGGGGCCCCCAGCGGGGGGGGGGTGCCCCTGAGCCTTTGACCACTGAGCGCGGGCAATGGAGCCAAGGACGGGGGCTGCTTCCTGGGCAGCGCTGACCCCGGCAACAGGCTGAAGCAGTGCAGGAGCCCGCGGAGAACAAAGGGGTGCCACAGGCCAACCTGCTGAGCTCCTAGGACAAGGAGGAAGAAACCAAAGAAGTTCTCAATGTGAAGAAATCAAGTGAGAGCAAAAGATAGTAAAATTACTTAAGAAAGAATACAAAGAAGATCTTGAAAAATCAAAGATTAAGTCAGAACTCAACTCACCAGCCAACATTGCAACATAAATGCGTTTTTTAAAAAAAAGAAAAAAAAGAAAAAGGGACAGAATGTTGGAACAGTGGAGACCAGGCCTAGAGTGGCCAGGCACAAGGCAGTGGCAGCCGGACCCGGAGCAGCAGCGGCCAGAACCAGTGCATCAACGGCCAGCACTGGAGCAGCCAGACCTAGGGCAGTGGCAGCCAGGCATGAGGCGGAGGCGGCCAAGCCCAGGGTGGCCAGTCCAGGAACACCCAGACCCAGAGTGGCCGGGCCTGGAGAAGCTGGGCCCAGAGCAGCCGGGTTGGGAGCAGCCAGGTCCAGAACAGCAGTAGCCACGCACAGAGCATCCAGGCCCAGAGCAGCCGGGCCCAGAGCAGCCGGGTCGGGTACGGCCAGGCCCAGAGCAGCGGCTGCCAGGCTGGGAGTGGTCAGGCCCGGAGCAGCGGCTGCCAAGCTGGGAGCGGCCAGGCCCGGAGCAGCTGGGTCTGGTGCGGCCAGGCCCGGAGCAGCAGCTGCCAGGCTGGGAGCGGCCAGGCCCGGAGCAACCGGGCCTGGTGCAGCCAGGCCTGGAGATGCAGCTGCCAGGCTGGGAGCGGCCAGGCCCGGAGCAGCCGGGTCTGGTGCGGCCAGGCCCGGAGCAGCAGCTTCCAGGCTGGGAGCTGCCAGGCCCGGAGCAGCGGCTGCCAGGCTGGGAGCGGCCAGGCCCGGAGCAACCGGGTCTGGTGCAGCCAGGCCTGGAGATGCAGCTGCCAGGCTGGGAGCGGCCAGGCCCGGAGCAGCCGGGTCTGGTACGGCCAGGCCCGGAGCAGCAGCTGCCAGGCTGGGAGCGGCCAGGCCCGGAGCAGCCAGGTCTGGTGCGGCCAGGCCCGGAGCAGCGGCTGCCAGGCTGGGAGCGGCCGGGCCCGGAGCGGCCTGGCCCAGAGCAACCGGGCCCAGAGCAGCCGGGTCGGGTGAGGCCAGGCCTGGAACAGCAACAGCCAAGTCCAGAGCAACTAGGTCGGGAGCAGCAGTGACCAGACCCGGAGCAGCTGGTTGTGGAACGGACCAGAGCAACAGAGGCCAGGCCCGGAGCAGCCAGGCCCGGAACAGCTCGCTCCTCGCCTGCCCCTGCCCCACGGCTGCCTCTCAGACATGGCTGGAAACTTTTGCGGGAACTTGAGGGTCTGCTGAATCAAGTGATGAAGGCTTAGATCTGGATGTGTTGAGTTAGTATAGCGCTGGGGTGTTGATCTGTGAGTGCCTTGGGTGGGGCCTGGATGAGGCTGGTTGACCTATTTGGAAATGTCTTTTGTGTGAAGTGTATCATTGGGCATGTGGAGGTATTATTGATATGAGAAAATGCTAAGTAACAGATTTACTATCTGAAAAGGGATTTACTATCGGGGAAAGGGAGGGAGGAAGAGACTGAACATAAACTGTGCACCTATGGATGAGGACAATGGGGGATGGGGGGGGGCGGAGGCTGGGGGGGAACCTGGTGGAGGGGGGAAGAAATGAGAAACCTTTGTAATAATATGAACAATAAAGATTGATTAAAAAAAAAAAAAAAAAAGAACCCCTTCTCCATCAGCTTTCTTTTTCACGCAGCATCTGACTGAACGTGACAGCCGCCTGCACCATCTCCACCAGCGAGGAATAGATCCCTTCATACCTCTTCCTTCAAGCCTCCTCTTTAGGGGCTGGAGTTCAGGTTTATCAGCCTAGGAGTTAACATTCTTGGAGGATGAACCTTCCTTTTTCTTTGCTCTCACTCTAAAGGGGTCTCAGGATGGGGAGGAGATAAGCACAGGTGTTTTTTCGTTTTCCGTTTTAAATGGAAGCCACGCCACTGGGTCACAAAGAACCCAAGGGCCAGTGGGGTCTCCAGGCTCACCTTGCTTTCATTTCATCTCTGGTAAATTATCAAAGACCCAAGTAAAGTTGGAATTGGTAATGGGGGAACTTGGGAAGGGCGTTGGAAGAGCTATTTCTAAGCTATGACTAGAACAGCTTTGGCTTCCTGGGCTGGGAAAATGGGCAGGGGTCCAAGGGGTTACTCCTCTCTCAACATTTCTGTTTTTTCTTCAAAGCACCTTCAATCTAGGTCTTGTAGACATCCTGTCCGTGTCATCCACAGCCAGTGGGTGCCAAGGCCGTGAGTTCTTCTCCTCCTCCCAGACACCCCTCCAACAGGCTCTCACTGCCCCGGCATGGCACGAGCCTTCCTCCTCCTGCATGCACACAGTGACGCTCTTCCTCCCTGCAGCTCCCCCTTCTCCAGCTCAGGGCCCACCCAGGACAGCAGCGTGACCAAGTTATTTATTTTGGTCAAGTGAGCAATCTCTTTGTATCTCTCCCTACCCAGTCCTACCTAGACAGCAGAGGCTCCTGAAACCGTCCCCTCCACCTCTGTCCACGGTCCGTGCCAGTTTCGTACCCCTTCTGCCCCTTCTGTGCTCCCTGTTCAAACCTTGCCTCATGAAGCCCCATTCAGCTAGCAAACACAGGCCAGTTCTGAGGCATTAACTCTTTGCAACGCCATTAAGTAGACACCACGTTTAGCCTCATTTACAGATGAGGAACTGAGGCACAGAGAAGTCCAACAACTCATATGAGGTGGAGCCTAGATTTGGAGCCAGACGGTATGTAGCCTCGGCCCCCACCTTCACCGTCTACCAAGTGCTCATTTCCATTCCCACCCTCCAGCACGTCAGCCCTCTCGCCCCAGAAGGAAGCCACTTAGTTAGTGTAGCAAGCAAGTTTTATTCTAATGTCTGAGTCTGATACGGAGCAAAGTAACCGAGCAGAAGTTAGTGTATGCAAACCGGTGTGTCCTGGTCGGGCTCCCAGCTCTGTCACCATCTAGTCTCTTGTTTCTCTGCCCGACCCAAGCCAGGACAGGCATTTGACCCCCTCCAGGGCTCTTTCCTCGCCACCGCACTGGACAGGGGTGTTTGAGACCCTCCCCTGTCCGGTGTCCTGAGAGAAGGTAGAGGTGCCACAGGTCCATCCAGGGAGTTCCAGGAGGCGACTCACCACGCCATTGCGCGGTTCAGCCCTCAGTCCACAAATCCCAGGCGCTTGCTGCTCCCTGGCGGCCAAAGCCGGGAGCCCGGGGACGGAGGATCGCTCCTTCTACCCTGCGCGAACCCAAGGGCACCAGCAAGTGACCGAGAGGTTGGGGAGAGGGCGGGAGGAAGGGGGACATAGCCGAGAAGAAAGAAAGTGGAGCCGGGGAGGGCGAGGGAGGGATCGCGGAGCAGACCTCGAGGAGAGAGGGCGGCCGGGGACACCCTGCGGCGAGGCTGGGGTGGCTGCCGCGGGGCTGGAGTGCGCGACTGCGCCCCTCATCCCCCGGACCCCCGGACCCCTGGACCCCCGAACCCCCGCTTGGCGGGAGCGCACAGCCCCTACCCGAGGCGGCGAAAGTGGCGTCCTCACCCCCCCACCCCCACCCACCCCCGGCGCCGGCCGCCCCCTTCCGTCCCCGCGCCGCCCCTCCTCCGTCCCGCCCCCAGCGCCCGGGCGAGCGCCGCAGTGGCCGCCGCCTGCACCGCCCGGGCGGGAGCCGGCGCTGTCCCCGCTCGCCTCGGCGCTCCGAGCGGCTCGCCGGCGGCCCGGTTCTCCCGTCCGACTCCACGCCAGCCTCGGGGAGCCCCGCCGCCGCCCCTCCGCCCCTTCTGCTTGCGGCCAGCGGAGCTCCGCGTCGCGGGAACTTGGGCAGGACTCCTCTCTCCGACGACCTTCCCAGGGCGCGGGGCGCGGGGCTGGAGCGGAGCCCCGCGGCGATGCCCGGCGCCCTCCTCCCTGACAGTCACTGTGCCGGGGCCCGGGTCCTGCCCCCGACGGCCGCGCGTTGAGATGACTTTCCGCGATCTCCTGAGCGCCAGCTTCGAGGGACCGCGCCCGAACGGCAGCGCCGCGGGCTCCAGCGCGGGCGGCGGCGGGGGCGGCGCGGGCGGCGCGGCGGCCTCGGAGGGCCCGGCGAGGGGCGTCGTGCCGGGGGCCGCGGGGGGCGGCGGCGGCGGCGGCGGCGGCGTGGTGGGCGCGGGCGGCGGCGAGGACAACCGGAGCTCCCCCGGGGCCCCGGGGGGCGTGGGCGCCGGCGGCGGCGAGGTGAACGGCACGGCGGCCGTCGGGGGGCTGGTGGTGAGCGCGCAGAGCGTGGGCGTGGGCGTCTTCCTGGCCGCCTTCATCCTGCTGGCCGTGGCGGGCAACCTGCTGGTCATCCTCTCAGTGGCCTGCAACCGCCACCTGCAGACGGTCACCAACTACTTCATCGTGAACCTGGCCGTGGCCGACCTGCTGCTCAGCACCACGGTGCTGCCCTTCTCAGCCACCATGGAGGTGCTGGGCTTCTGGGCCTTCGGCCGGGCCTTCTGCGACGTGTGGGCCGCCGTGGACGTGCTGTGCTGCACCGCCTCCATCCTCAGCCTCTGCACCATCTCGGTGGACCGCTACGTGGGCGTGCGCCACTCGCTCAAGTACCCGACCATCATGACGGAGCGCAAGGCGGCCGCCATCCTGGCGCTGCTTTGGGCCGTGGCCCTCGTGGTGTCCGTGGGGCCGCTGCTGGGCTGGAAGGAGCCCGTGCCCCCGGACGAGCGCTTCTGCAGCATCACCGAGGAGGTGGGCTACGCCGTCTTCTCCTCGGTGTGCTCCTTCTACCTGCCCATGGCCGTCATCCTCGTCATGTACTGCCGCGTGTACGTGGTGGCGCGCAGCACCACGCGCAGCCTGGAGGCCGGCGTGAAGCGGGAGCGCGGCAAGGCCTCCGAGGTGGTGCTGCGCATCCACCGCCGAGGCGCCGCCTCGGGTGCAGGTACCGACGGGGCGCCCCGGGGACTGCGCAGCGCCAAGGGCCACACCTTCCGCAGCTCGCTGTCCGTGCGCCTGCTCAAGTTCTCCCGCGAGAAGAAGGCCGCCAAGACGCTGGCCATCGTCGTGGGAGTCTTCGTGCTCTGCTGGTTCCCCTTCTTCTTCGTCCTGCCACTCGGTGAGTGACCCCTCTCCCCCACCAGCCCTTCCTTCCTGAGCCTGGAGCTATGCCTTCCTGGCACCCAAGCTTGGCAGCTTTCCCCCTCACCCCCCACCCCACCCTGCCCCAGCTGGCTCTCCACCTGAAGAATGGAAGGTGGGCTTAGCAACCTCCCTGGTTCCTTCCAGTGTTTCCCAAAGTGTGGCACGCGTACCCCGAGGGGTACGGGAAGAGTTTGGTGGGGGTACACGTTGCACCGAAGTTTGGTGGGGATATGCACTGCACCGTGCTTAGCTGCGCCTAATTCTATGTTCTCATGAGTAGGAGGGGTACTCAGCATTACGAAAACTATAGAAGGGGTGCACATATGTCAAAAGTTTGGGAAACACTTAGACAGAAGTGTGGCCCGGCTTTGGGGGAGGGGAGGAGGACAAGAGGCTCTTAGTGCTTGCAAAAGTTGTTTCACAGGGTTCTAACTTTTCTGTCCTTCCACTCCCCCTTCATTGTCATTACCATCCTCGGCTTGTTTTTCACTCTGGATGCCGCTAAATATAAAAGGTCAGTAGAAATCTGTGCAAGCATCTGCTCATAGTATGTAACAGCCGTGTATGTGTTCACCTACATGTTAACAGATACACACTCATACATACACACACACACTCAGATATACATGTCAACTCCCAGAGGTGGGCCCGCAGGTAGCGTGGGCCTACATTCATTCATGGGCAGCAAGCCCTGCCCAGTCGACATGTACATCAGCACGCACCAGAAGCCACCTGCTTTCTCCCAGCACTCATTCCGTTTGGAAGCTGGACCCTCCCAAGCTGGAATCTGTGAGTGCCCTGGGCTCTAACTTCTGCGTCCTCCTCTTGGAATTGGGGGAGGGGCTGTGTGAGGGTAAGAAGGAAAGAGAAGGAGGCAAACTATCAAACGGAAAGTTGATGTTCATCGTCTTTCTTTAATTTACTGAGTATTTTAGCACTTCTGAAAAACTTTCCAATTTCTCCCACGAGGGTCCCCACGGACCTGGAAGGTGGGCGGCAGTTCTGAGGGGCTTCCTCCCACATCTGGGGGGTCCTCCTGGAAGCCTTGGGGCTGGGTCAGCCCTGGGAGGAGATGGAGAACAGCATTTCCGGGGACAGATTTACCCTGAGTCATTTCGCCCATGGCTGCAACCTCAGCAGGCCCACGCAGGGATCTCCCCTGCCTTTCCGGAGCCTGCTTCTTCCACACCCTGCAGCGGAGTCAGGACAGGGACAATGGCCTCCCTCCTGCTCCCCTGCCGGCTCTCCACACACAGCAGCCAGAGTGATCTTTATACATTATAAATTAGTGTCACTCTCGATGAAAACCCCTCAATGCTTTCTCCCTGCCCTGGGAACAAAATCTAAACTCTCCATTATGGCCTATGAGGTGACCTTCAAATGTATCATTGTCCAAACCAAAATGTGACGCTAGGAATACTTCTGCTTAGAGCACGGGCAGGAACCAGGACAATAGGGACAAACCCGGACTTGTGGTCCCCTTCCTGTAAGGAGAGCCCCACATGATGGGCTGCCTGCCCTCTGGCCTCATGGCTTGGCTGCCCTGCCTTTTGCTCACTGCCCCTCTGGCCCCTCTGACCCTCTTCTGGTTCCTTGCCCACATCCCTCATGCCCTTGCATTTGCTCTTCCCTCTGTCTGGCCTGTCCTGCCCAACCCCCCCGGCTAACTCCCCATCCTTCAGGTCTCTGTATAAATGTCCCCTCTTCAGAGAGGCCTTCCCAGATGCCTCAGCCTCAGCGTGTCTTTCTCTGTGTTTTCTCCCTCGTGGCACAGGCTCTCCTCCTTTACTAGCTCCTTAGCTATAATCACATCGGGTATTGCTTGGTTTGGTGTCTGACTTCCCTGACTGGCCTGCAAGCTCTGCAAGAGCAGGACTGTGCTGGTGGGGGGAAGCCAGACAAGCACCCAGCACAGTGCCTGGCATATGAAGAGCAATAGAGCACAGCAGCAAGGACCACAGGATCTGGTACCAGAGATCCTGGGTTCGAATCCCAGCTCTGCTTCTTACTAGCTGGGTAACTTGCAGCAAATCCCAGAACCTCTCTGGGTCTCTCATTCCTCATCTATAAAATAAGGATGGTGGTGATGGTTATAATGATAACCTACAGGGGGGTTAATAAGACTTCAGTGATGTATTATGTGTGATTGTAACATGGTGAGTTCCATATGAGCTATTGCTTTGGCAGTGGGTGCTCAGTATAAGATAAGAAATGAATAAATCACCGACTGGAAAGTCACTCAGCCAGAGGCTGTGGTGAGGATAAGAAGAGGGATGGAGGGGGAAGGGAGAGGCAAATAGGCAGAAAGAGAAAGTCTGTGTGCCCCCCTTTAGCCCACCTACCCCGTATTTACAACCCCCCCCCCCCCAGCCATCACCCAGGCTTCTTGCCCTACCAACCCACCCCTGTTCCAGCCTTGCCCAGCTGTGCCCTGCTATCCCAGGTGCCCTCATCCTCCCCCTGCCCCTTGGTTCACACCAGTCCCCTGTAGGAAATAATCAGTCTGTGTGTAGACTGCCGTCTCCCCTAATGGTCTTCTAACTTCTTTTCAAATGTCTAGTTACAGAATAAGGCACATAAGGAGAAAATAGTATACCAAGTGCCTATGTACCCATCATCACCCATATTGAATAGATACTCACATTTTTGCCATATTTGCCTCTGATCCTTTTTTTTTTTTTTTTTTCCAAAGAAATAGAATACAGCCATAGCTAAGTTCCCTTCTCCTGTCCTTTTTTGGTCCCTCCTCCCCAAAGGTAAATCTGGTATTTATCACTCCCACACATTTGTACTCTTCCCACAAATATCTGTATTCACAATAATAGAGAATATTGCTTTGTGTGCCTTTAGGATTTATGTAAATCGCACCACCATGCCTTGCGCATCCATCTTCAGTTTGCCTTTTTCACCCAACATGGTGTCGCTGAGATTTATCCACGGCCATGCTGCCTCACTGCAGCAGCAGCGTGGTGCCCTGTTTGAGAGCGTCCCATGGCGTGTTGATGCAGTCTCCTGCTGAGTGCTCCGCGCTTCCAATTTCTCACTGATACAATCAACACGGAAAGCAGCTACTGTTCTCTGAGGTCTAGATCACGTGTCCCCCTCTTCCAGGAAATCAGCCCCAAATCTCCATGGCCTTTGCCCCTGGCTGGTACACACTGCTCTTTCTTAATCCCTCCATCTCTGTTGCTCCTCACATATGGTTGGCGACCCTGGGAGGGGGCTCTCCTTGCCTCCACCTCACTGAGCCTTCCAGGGCACCTCACTGAGCCCCAGAGCAGAGCCCACGGAGCTGAATTGAGTGGAATCTGGCAATAGCAAACATGCAGGAAAGAGGCCAAGCAGGAACACAGAATATCCCAATCGCCAGGATGTGGCTCTGAGGGTAGATCAACAGAGAGAATGGGAGGATGGAGCAAGAGGCGGAGAAAGAGTGGCCTGAGGGTTATGCAGGAGGGCCAGGGGGTCAGGAGGTCCTGACAGTCCTCAGCACTGGCCCAGGGAAAATTCTGAGCAGCAACTTGGGGGTGGGGGTGGGGGATAGAAATAGAATGTAGCATCCAGGGAGTTGGTAGGAGGTGCCAGTATGTGGGGGCGGGGGGGGGGGCGGGAGGGGAGTGTGAAAAACATTGGGAACTTATTATAGATAAGAGGGTCAAGAATGGGAGTGGTTGCAGGAAAGAGAGAGGATGGAGAGACAAAGAAAAGAGAGGGACTGGGGACAGAGCCTGGGGAGCCCCTACTTTGAAGAAATCAGGAGGAGGCTGAGAAGGGGGAAGCCAGGAGGACTGACACTTCTCAGCTCCCTCAAGCCCTGGCCCCACACCAGATGTGAGGAGCAGCAGGGAAGGAGAGGTTGAAAAAGCAGTCAGTGCCGGAAAGGGCCATAGGCCATGGCAGCAAAGGCACCCAGTAGAGCCACAGCCTAGGGGTTGTCAAGCAGACCCAGGAAGCTCCATACCCACAGCCTCCGGACACAAAGTCAAGTGGAAGCTGCAGCTACAGCACAGCAGTGACAGCCAGGGAGTGGCCCTGACAGCCCGAGGGCACTGACAACCTTAAGGAGGGAACCCAGGGTCCCAGAGGGACCTTGGCCCAGGGAGCGAGTGACTGCCATTTATAAGCTGAAATGCTGAGGGTCAGGCCGGAGCAGGAATGGAGAGAGGTACAGATGGGGTGTCCTGAACTGAAAGGATTCTGGGGGTCCAGGCCAATGGCCAGGAGAGATTGGGACACAGACACCAGGCACCTAAAATCCTGAGCGGCCTCAAGAGAGGCTAGGGGTCACCCCCAGACCTCCAGCTGAGGAGCAACTGCAGGGCATGTGCCAGCAGGCAGAGAGCTCAATGAACTTGAGACATCATCTGTCGGACCCTGCAATTTAGGGCAGCAAGACCAGGGAAGGCAACACCTGCCCTTCCAGGACACCGGGGGAGCTGTGTAAGGAATGAGAAATACCACTCACCCCCGTGAGAGGGCACTCGCCTGCCTGCTGCTTCATACTGATGCCCAGGTGTGCTGTCTGCCCCGTGAAGAATGACCACACACCCAGGTTTGACCAAGGCAGCCCTGGTTATACCTGTTGACCTACATGGTTACTAACAGTGCCCTTTTTCCCTCTCAGAGATGTTCCAGTCTGGACGACAGCCTATATGGTCCCCACTCCTTGGAGGAGGGGCTCTTGGCAGCTCTGCCAATGAGAGATGTGCCTCCTGCCCTCACCCCAGCAAGCTGGTGCAGGACTAGGTGCCTGGGAAAGTCGCAGGACATTATGTAAAAGTTCCTTCTTACAGGTTATTTAGCCAGATGTCTAGAGGAGCCCAGACTTGTAACAGGCATGTGGGGAGGGGCATCAGTTAGAACCTGTTATCTGCAGACTTCCATGGAAGACCCCCCAAAAGGGAGCCAGCTAGAATTACACCTGAAAGCCTCTGCCCTGAACCCTTAGTGCCACAGCCCCCTCACCCACAGCCT